CAAACTATACTAAATAAAATCACAGACTAGGTGGGAACTTTGCTCCTCTTTAACAAAGTCTGAGTTGTAGGTAAAGTAGTTTAAGCTTTAGTTTCAGTAGATTTAAGATAATATGTACTACATTAAAAATGCATTTAGATGTATTTAGATATTATAATCAATAAAGAAATCGAGGCAAGATTTCACTTTTAAAGCGAAAAAAAATAAATAAACCAATAAAATAAAATAAAATAAATAAATACATAGCAGGAATTCTCAATTATATTCATAATATGAAAATAATAATTACGTATAATAGATAATGAAATTCAGTTTTATTTATAGAGAAACCTGTTTAAATTCTTGTTTCGCTAACCTTTCTAAAATACGCAAGTTCTTAAACCATTTACATATGTACTGCCATTAACGTTAATCTATACAAGTTATTAATTTTCAATTATATATCCTTGTTTATACATTCTAGTTATAAAATAGAACATATAAATCGTACCCATGGTGTGTTATAGTGCTTGTAGTCGATCATTATTTATCGGCTTAGCCGGCTAAGTCAAAGTCAAACATCTTTGTTTGACTTTCGGAAATTATAGTAAAATTTTACCACGACCTTGCTCGCATTTTATGTCGTTGAATTTCTTTTTTGGGAGGGAGAATGTAAACTACAAAATCGGCCTAAATTTGATTGATTACGGTAATTTTTTAAAGTCTAGATTTTTCAGAAAGTCGGCTGACTATCACGACTACTTTTATCTAGCTCCTAACATTAACCTTAACGAATTTTATGAATTTTGTCTGCGTCACAAACCCGGTACGCATTTTCTTTGAGTGCACATATATTACTGCCCGGGACATGTCCGTCCCGGACTGTCCGTTTTCCGTGTCCCTTGTCCTAGCACAACACTGCGTACAGGCACTGCTCTTGTATGTACGTGCTTGAAACGTAAGTCTTCTGCTATGCTCCGGACAATTAAATTCATATTCAGGACGAAAATAAATTTTATCAAAATTCCAAAATGAATTTTCATAAAGATCTTACGCAATCCACAATTCTAGCATAACAGTGAAATAACACTTGATAAGATAAATTTTTGTTTTTTTTTCAAGATGAAATTCTAAATCAACTTTTACGTTAATATTGTGACAGTCTTATAGATTACAGTTTTAAATTGTTAATACATTGTTGTTATACTTTAAGTATAGCAGACTATAAATCAATTATTTATTTGTTTCTGTGCAAATTAATCATAATTTTCTCATTTTGTTTACAATCAATATAAATCGCAAAGTTTGAATTAAGATAAAAAATGGTCAAAGAAATTATGAAAAATAAATACAATGTCTATGGTAGAATATAATGAAGAATCATGATAGAATGCAAAAATATTACAATGAAATTAATGCAAACGACGGTCTATAAATGCATGATCAATGAATGAGTGAGTAAATGATTGATTGATTGATAAATGAATTGGCGTATGTATAATATATTGCTGTATGCATGTGTAGAAAGTGATTTCCAGATAGATACGAGAACATCAGGTGGATACTGAACATTTTTACAAATCACACATTAATCAAGTTTTTCAGATTCAGGTTCAAGGGATTCAGAGCGTTTCCACCAACCATCCCACCAGCCTCGTTTTTTGAGAGATTCAGATTCAGGGGATGCAGAACGTTTCCACCAACCATCCCACCAGCCTCGTTTTTCGAGAGATTCAGATTCAGGGGATGCAGAACGTTTCCACCAACCATCCCACCAGCCTCGTTTTGCTAGTTCAGGTTCAGGGGATGTAGAACGTTTCCACCAACCATCCCACCAGCCTCGTTTTGCTAGTTCAGGTTCAGGGGATACAGAACGTTTCCACCAACCATCCCACCAGCCTCGTTTTTTGAGAGATTCAGGTTCAGAGGATGCAGAACGTTTCCACCAACCATCCCACCAGCCTCGTTTTGCTAGTTCAGATTCAGCGGAACGTTCCTCGACTTCAAAATCAGGAACAGGCTCAGGCTCAGGCTCAGGCTCAGATTCAACTGATGCTGCGCGCTTTTCAGGTTCAAAACTATTATCTCTAGGGATTCTTTTCACGTTATTTCGTTTGCGCCTTTGTTTTTTGATACTTTGAACAGGAGATATAGAAATGTCAGCACAACTTGTGAATGTGTTATCCGGTGATCCAGGCGACCACTGGAAGCGTAAAGTTCCATGGTTAGTGATAACGTTATTAGGCAAGGTTACAGGTGATTGAAAGTCTTTTCCACAGTTTGAAAAGGAATCGATCATTTGAAAGTCACTCTCTAAGCCAGTAGGCGATAAATAAATGGAACATTCTCCCGAAGTGTCAATTGCCCATTTAACATTGATTGTTTGACCTTGAGTAAAGCTATTTAATTGAACGGCTTCATTAACTCCGCACGTGTGTGATTGTGGAAATAGTACTATGGGTGTCTTATATTCGGCAGGTTCAATCACGTGAGCAAATCCAGTACCAATAAAAAAAAATAAAATGTATATTAAGGGTTTAATGAGAGAGGGAATTGATAAAGATAACGGTGATCTAAGGGAAGGTGTTCTTAATGTGGCCATCTTATGATAGATTATGCTTTATAATATTTAAGAAGGAACTCTACCGGAGAGTAGCCACAATTAGGAATAGGTTGGTATTGCAAAATGGATTTTAATCAGTGATGCGATGAAGAAACATTGAGACACTGATAAAGCCTATATATATAACTATTTCTGCCTTCTTGTTATTGACAAAGATCTTATGAATTGCTCAAATATCCAACCATCATTATTGGCGAGATATACTTTGTTGAATATGAACAAAGACCTAGTAATTTAACTTAGTAAAATTTGATATATTTATTTTCTAAATATGGAATACAGTAAAAATAACCATGACTTCTATGGATAAAAACTGTAGATCGGAACATTCAAATCATTCATGCAATCGATAACAATAAGTATGACAAGTTTCCGAAAATGAAATTTGTGTTTGGATGGCGAATCAGTGACACTTCTAAAGAAAACGAGTTTCTAACTAGTTCTTTATGAAAAATGGCAATGGCTATAATGCAGGTTAAATAGCATAAAATGACAAATTTTTGACACACCAACCATCCATGTGAGATTTTATTTGTTTTTAATCACAAAGAACCGGTTAAAGAACATGTTTCTTGCCTAGAATAGCTAGTTCTTAATTTCGATCTTTTCACGTTTTTGGAAAAATCGACAATGGTGCTAATCTGGAAAGCAACTTAATTAAACCGTGTGTCCATATCATGGTCTTTATACTATTATGAAGCCAATTATATTAACAGGACCGTTTCTGCAAAATTTAACGTTCTGACTGATCTGTCGCTTTGAACGCAAAAATATTTTAATTACCTTCGATATTTGCCATAAATGTATTCTATTTATTGTACAGACATACGTCCTTTACTTTAAGAAAACTTAGAACCATTAAAAAAGATGGTTCGTGAAAACCATCATTCAGTTGTATATTAAAAATTTAGTGCGTAAAAACCTTGTTCTCTATTTTAGATAATGAAACCGTGGTACGAAAAGTTTAAACACCTGCAGATCTATATACTTGTTGACTTATCATTATAATCATTACGGCGCTTTTGCAAAAATCAACTCGAAGCACTATAAAGAGTGCCATTTACTATGACTTTTAAAATTTTCTTACATTTCTTATTACAAACCACATAACTTAAAGTAGTGATCTATTTGTACACGTATTACTAAATATTAAATTAGTAATACAGATCGAAAAATCTATTGATCGAGAGGTTGTCTAAGTTGGCAACCAATTGATTTAAATCTTATGAAAAAGCTAATCGTTAACTAATTCCCTATTTAATAATTTTAAATTAGCACATCTGAAATGTGTGCCAAGTTTGTGGAGCAGACAAAATTCTTTAAAATTCATTTAATGTTAGCGTTTATATTAGAATTAGGTGTTAACAAAGTATACAGCACCGGCCAATTTATTATATGATTTTCATAAATTATACAAATAGACGAATTTACATTTTTAAAAAACTTACATAAAACCTGAGTTTCAACACAAGATGTTTCTTAAAACAAAGTTGTACTGAAGCATTTATGAATTAGAATATATAAAAAATATTTAAATAAGTTTTTTCTTGTTAAGTAATATAACTTTAAAAATGTGCAATTAATTTGCTTTTTTTTGCTTGATTCTTTTTTAGTTTGCAAGTACCTGACATAAAACAGATTATTAGGTGCATTTAAGTGTGAACTTTTGTCAAAATGCATCTATGAAGGGTTGATGCATTATGAGTGTAACAAAGAAAATTATGAAAAACTGTTTTATAGATAGGTAGATTATATTAATATTTTTTTTATAATTTAGTTTTATTTGAGAAAAAATGTTGCTTTTTTTAAGTAAAATCAATAATTTATTATTATTATTAATTTATTTTATTACAATATTTATCTAAGTTTAGAATTACAAGTTTAAAATCAAGTTTTATATTGTTTTTTGTTTTTTTATACTAATTATATTCTTAATTTTAAATTTGTTCTGGATTTTAATCATTAGTATAAATTACAAATTTTTTAGTTATATATTTAACATTATAGCACATTTGTAAACTACTTCAATATTTAAAAAATTTTAACTCTTAATAGTAAGTTAATTAAATTAACATTATTTATTTATTTATTTTAATATTAATAGTAAGGCCATGTCTCTATCTTTATTGAATATTCAATTGAGATTTTATATAAATATGAATCTATTTTTAAAATATTATAGAAAGAATAAAAGCTCAAACTAATTTATCTATAATCTAAATTAACAGAAATAACCAAGACTTACTTAGATTTGAGTATTAGTAATTATGTATAGAGAATTGGTTTAATATTTGATCTATTAAATATATTAGGAGTTAATTTTAAACTAATTAAATTTAAAAAAAAAAATATGATGAAGAAAAGATAGAATTTAATAATAAGTTATAGTTAGAAAGTTAAGTTATAAATTTTAAAATACAGTAGAAGATTCAAATTTTATGATAAATTTGTTAATTAAAATAAAGTAAAAACTTTATAAAAAGTGTAGTAGCTACTTTTTTGAAGTACAAATTTGCAATAATATCAATAAGTTCATTTGGTATTAAGCTTATTAAAGTTAAGAAAATTGATGATATATTAGATATATTGTAAATAAACATGTTATTAAGTAGTTTAATTTGATAATATAAGTTGGTTATAATATTAGATATAGTATTAAGTATAGTTAAGTTAAAAGTATATTGTAATAAAATATTAATAAAACTAAATAATAGTTGATTAAATGAACAAGTTGTCTAGTAGAGATGTAAACTAATTTGATAATATTGGTAACAAATAGGTAAATATAAATAATAATGTTTATGTAAAATATATAAAATAGAAAGTTTAAGGTGTGATGACCTAGTGAAGTGGTCAGGTTGTCAATTCTTCAAGTAGTAGATTAGGTGTTCAAATCACATCAATGATGAAAATTTGAATAATTACCTATGTAATATTTGTATTATAGCAACTGTTATTAACAATTGGGTTAGGATATCTGTAATGGTGATTGCATCAGCATGACTGGCAGGTCATAAAGCATCTGTACAATGTTGAAATTATACAGAGAAATGCAAACCAACAAATCGGATGATGCAAACACTAGATAAGTTCTTGTGATTATATAAATTCATTAAAATTAAATAACAAGAAGTTTATTTGGAAAAACCTGAATAGAGAAATAGCTGGATCTTTAACAGCTCTATTGTAAAAACTAGTCTGACCAAATAGATATCAAGGTCTAATACCTAGTTGTAGTAGCCAGATGAGTAAAAACCTTCAGGTTGAATGTCTCAGAAGTATTACCAACTAAGCCACCAGAACAAACTAAAGAAAAAGGATATCAGGCTGACCCGATATACTAATAGACTGGTTATAGTCCTATACATGCTATCTGAATTAGAAGTTTGTTAAAAAGGCAGAAAAAAAGCAGAGGTATACTAAAGTACCAGAGTTATGCTTAGTGTTTTGATCCTATTTCTGACAGACTATTCAGATTATATTAAATCCAGATTGAATCCATCTCAAATCATATATTAAAACTAACTTTTGAGCACATCCTTAGGTCTGTTATTTAAGTTCTTTGACCAATCCGAGTAAACATCTCTGACTTGGATAGCTGAATTTATCTAGATTTAAGGATCAATTCAAATCTTAGATTACAGATCGAAATACTAATTATGCTATAAAGTAGATGCTAAGGTTTAAGTGAACTCTATAAGGGCATAGCAGTTTAATAGTTAGTTTTGACCACAAGTGTTGGTTCTGCTATAGCAATACCTAGGTCAGCTGTAAAAATGAGTACAGAAGGCTTTAGGAAATTTAACTCAAGAATAAATTAGTCCTAAGATTGAGACAATGATCTAGGCATCTGAATATAACCCAGTAACTTAACACAGATTACAGATTTAGAGGATTTAAAGTGAAACATCCAAGCAGAGATGTTAGGTACAACAATTGGTAGGAAACTTTTGGGCAAACTCCTTAAATAGGTAATATAGAAAAATTATATATATAGCTAATTGTACTCTCTTCTGTAGTAGTTTATTGAATTACAATACTAATAAGTAATTAATAAAAGTTAAAAGACCAAAAAGGTCATCTTAAAAAATAAAAAATAAAAAAATAAAATAAAAAGTTCATCTAATAAAATTTTAATTCTAAAAAATTGAGGTATAGGTCTCATAGCTTAGTGGTTAAGCTTCCATACTTTTCATAGTCAAGATCAATAGTTCAAATCTGGCTAAAGACAAAATTGAAAGATTTTAGCTTCTATAACCTAATAAGGAGCCTGTAATTGAATGTAAAGCCCTGTGGTTAAGTTCAAGTACAGTACAATGATGAAAATAAAAATTCTTAAAAGAAGACCTAATTGTGAAAAGCAGATACTATATGTAACAAATGGTTGTTACAGAAGGTTATGATTATGAAAAGATTGTATATATAAGTCCTTTAGGCTAGGGCAGCATCAACATTCTTATATCTCCTAATATAGGCAGTACCAACATCTCTGCATCCAACTTGTAGGATACTTGCTTAGAAGAATAATTAACAAATTGTGCAAATAAGTCTTAATTAGGATTCAAGAAGAGGATTTAATTAGGAGAGTATTTTGAAAATAACTAAGACTGAAATGATAAGAGAAGCAGTGAACATAAGAATAGACTGTGATAAAGGATTGGTCTAATCAAAAATTAGAAACACCTCTGGTATAACCAAATAATTTAATTATAGAAGAGAAAAATCCTGAAGATTGGTGTATAACTTTCTTGTACAATGTAAAAGTACCAAATTAGATTCCTGGTTATACCTATATAGAAGTCTATAATGAACAAGACTAGGATCAACCAACCAATATAAAATAAGATCTGCAAAGTAGTATGGCATCACTAGGGTCGATGTAACTTTCTAGAGCATAATCAGAATTGTTCTATAGATATTATTGAATAAGCTAAAAGCTTGCAATATATAATAGTATGGTATTACTAAAGTCAGAAGAA